TCCGTGTTACGGCCTTCAATCCCGGATTAATTATTTAATTAATCCCGTTAATAATAATTAAATATGATTTAATTCGGTTACGTTTCCTTTAATTAATTAATAAGGTCCACCATGAACCGTGGACCCTTGCCTAAATTAGAGTCCTAAGCCTATTAGGAATAAAGAAAGTAAACCCTTTACTATTCAGATTCTAATTAGGAATCCTAGACCTAGTTATCTATTAGGAATAAAGGAAGTAGGCCTTTTACTATCCAGACTACGATTAGGATTCCCTAATTAATTAATATGGTCCACTATGGACCATGGACCCTTATCCCTAAAATAAGCCCTTAGTTCTATAAGGAATAGAATTAGTAAATCCATACCATTCAGACCCTAATTAGGATTCTTAAATATATAAATAGGGATATAGGAGGCACCTAGATCTTTCACCACCATAATCTCTCACCACACAAGAAGTTCCAAGAATCCCCCTAGGAGAAATCAAGAAAGAAGAAGGCTTAAAGAAAGACCCTTCATAGCCAAGGAATTAATTAAGGCTAAGAGGTAACCCATGTCTCAACAAAACCTATTTTCATAGCTATGATTTCCCCCGTAGGATTTCCCCATATTATTGTGTATTGATGATTTGTGATGTTATTATTGATGACTGATGGGATAATTCCATGGGTGATCTTGATATCGGGAGATTCTTGATAATTATGGTGTTCGTAACGATTACGTGGAGTTCATGATAATTGTATGTTGTTCTTGATAATTGTATGGCGTTCTTGATACTTATGTGTTATTTGTACCGAATCTTGTAATTAGAAGAGGAATCGAATTCTTGTTGGCATAAAAGTGATTAGAACCCTAGGTTGTATCGTATGGAATTATTCTTGGTATATTGGGTGGGAATTCGCATGATTGGGTGTTTATTATGTTTAGAAAAGCATGATAGGTTATGTGCCGATTGTTTCCTAATTTTGATCTGTTAATTGTCTACGTTTGTTATCAATTGCGTTTGAAAGTGTCCAAGCATGGATTCGGGTTCCACAAAGGTTCCCGGGGCGTTTCTTGATGAAAAGAGTCAGTGGGGGGTAGGGGACCCGCCACCTACCCGCGGCCTCCCTGGGCAACGCTGGCAGCGGGTAGCCGGCGGGTGATCCCTCACCCACTGGCTACCCGCTGGTTTGCACCCCAATTGGGGATCTTGGCTTCCCTGTTTGATGTTTCCCCGACCCCCGAGGTGTCCCAACGGACTCCGTCTATCGTGCCTATGTCTAGTTTGATATTTCGGGTACCGTTCGTAGGTTGTATGAGTCTTATATATTGCATGCTAGTTGAATTGGTATCCCGCTGACCTAGGTGAAAGGAGTATGAACCCCTTAGGACTATTCTTAGCATGTGAAGGATCACGCATAGGTTTTGTTATACGTTTCCTCCCCTTCCCAATATGTTAATGTGGGTTGCATGTGCTTGCTACGTGTTATGTGTGCGTGTCACCCCGAATTGGTTGAGATCAATCGGGCTATACGGGCAGTCGGGTGGGCTGAGAACCATACCAGCTGTTAACCAAGCTGGTAGAGACCGGTCAGGTATATAAATATTATATAGGACTAAGTTGCACTATACGGGCAGTCGGATGGGCTGAGAACCATACCGGCTGTTAACCAGGCTGGTAGAGACCGGTCAGGTATATAAATATTATATAGGACAAATGTCCACTATACGGGCAGTTGAATGGGCTGAGAACCATCCCAACTGTTAACCAGGCTGGTAAAGACCGGTCAGGTATATAAATATTATGTAGGACAAAGGTCCATCAGTCGGTTGCGATCGGCTCCTCCGTAATGTGAGACGGGGCAGGGTGCTGCGGGGCCGTGTCAGAGCTATATGCGCTGACCCTCATGTATGGGCATGCGATTGGTCCTGTGGCGCCAACAAAGTGTGCTATGTGATGAGATATGGAGGAGTTGTGTTTATGAGTATACTGGGGGTTGTGACTAAGGGATTTATGCTGGGGATTGTTTACATTGGGTTATGATTATTAATTGTGCTCAGCTCTATCTGTCTTGCCTGTGGAGGATTGTATACGCCTGTTATAACTGTCGCTTGTGTCTAGCCTTGTCTGTCGAGTCATTCCCGGTTTTAAAAGCTAAAGTCTCATAGGATATATCTTCATGATTCAAAATGGTTTTCGTATATCTATATATATCTCTATATGTATTGTATTTCAACACGTTGGAGTGGGTTACCAGCATCTCTCGCTGAACAGATATATTTGGCTTTCAGGCACAGACGAGTAGTTCACTGGAGCGCGCTAGAAGCTTGGACGTAGCTTAGATAGTTTTTCCCTTTCGGCCTGCGTGCCATGATTTAGTACTGATACTATTTGAGGATATTAGTTAGTTAGCCTGTGCACCTGAGTTCTTTAGCTTAGGTGTGGCATAGCACCCCATACTCTTGTACTATGTTTTGGGATTCAACGAGATTTCACCTTTATTTTATAAGTTTTAAATATCCTGAAAATCTGGGGTGTTACAGTGGCCACTTGGTGGGTGACACCGGCTCGGATCCCATCGTGGTTCCCCCCGACATGTTGGACGTGGTTCTGGTGGACTCAACCGACCGGCGAGTGGATGTGGTGGTGAATGAGCCACCCTTGGACGAGGAGGAAGTATGGGAGGTTCCTCTGCTTTTTGGGGTGGCCATGTCTCCCAGCGCTCTTGAAAGGCCTCTCTAGATGATCGATGACGGGGAGCCGCCAGTCTATGTGGATGACGTGCCGGATCCGGATCCGACTGCGCCTCCTTTCTAGCCCTGGCTTTTCCTGGAAGGTCCACCTCCATCTGCTCGTCCGACCAAGGAGGAAGCCAGACCGTGATCTCGCTTTTATGCTTTTTAGTTTGTAACGCGACTGCGATGTAGGCCTACCTGTCCTGATTGATAAACATTCTGTCTTGTTTTCCTTGTCTTCGGAGAAAGAATCCAGTTTTGTCGCTTTTACTAGCTTCCCTTCCGCCGACCTGACCTCTCGTTAAGGGTGGTCGGCCCCTCTTGCTCGATTGCGGAGTCGACGGCGACTCCGGGCCCGAAGCCCAGCTATTCACTCGACTGGATACCGAAGTCGAGTTATCAGTGCCGACCCCTTTACTCGGCTGGCCTTGAGACCCATTCTCAGGTTGTCCTGCCTAGACAGGTACTGGGCGGACTAAAGGGATTATGGCGAGATTGAGCCTAGATTGGTCAGTGCCCCATCACTTCTTTCTTTTCTGGCAGAGTCCCTCAGTCGAGGCGACCCATTAGGCTTTTTCTATCGCAGAAACAGTTTAAGGTCAGTGCCCCGTCGTTTCTCTCTTTTCTTGCCGAGTCCCTCAGTCGAGGCGACCCATTAGGCTTTTTCTATCTCAGAAACAGTTTAGGGTCAGTGCCCCGTTGTTTCTCTCATTTCTTGCCGAGTCCCTCAGTCGAGGCGACCCATTAGGCTTTTCCTATCTCAGAAACAGTTTAGGGTTAATGCCCCGTCGTTTCTCTCTTTTCTTGCCAAGTCCCGCAGTCGAGGCGACCCATTAGGCTTTTTCTATCTCAAAAACTGTTTAGGGTCAATGCCCCATCGTTTCTCTCTTTTCTTGCCGAGTCCCGCAGTCGAGGCGACCCATTAGGCTTTTTCTATGTCAAAAACAGTTTAGGGTCAGTGTCCCATCGTTTCTCTCTTTTCTTACCGAGCCTTGTAGTCGAGACGACCCATTAGGCTTTTTCTATCTCAGAAACAGTTTAGGGTCAGTGCCCTATCGTTTCTCTCTTTTATTGCCGAGTCCCTTAGTCAAGGCGACCCATTAGGCTTTTTTTTTTTTTTTTTTTATCTCATAAACAGTTTAGGGTCAGTGCGCCCCATCTTTTCTCTCTTTTCTTGCTGAGTCCCTCAGTCGAGGCGACCCATTAGGTTTTTTCTATCTTAGAAATAGTTTAGGGTCAGTGCCCCGTCGTTTCTCTCTTTTCTTGCCGAGTCCCTCAGTCGAGGCAACCCATTAGGCTTTTTCTATCTCAGAAACAGTTTAGGGTCAGTGCCCCGTCGTTTCTCTCTTTACTTGCCGAGTCCCATAGTCGAGACGACCCATTAGACATTTTCTATCTCTGAAACAGTTTAGGGTCAGTGCCCCGTCTTTACTCTCTTTTCTTGCCGAGTCCCTCAATCGAGGCAACCCATTAGGCTTTTTCTATCTCAGAAACAGTTTAAGGTTAGTGCCCCGTCGTTTATCTCTTTTCTTGCTGAGTCCCTCAGTCGAGGCGACCCATTAGGCTTTTTCTATCTCAGAAATAGTTTAGGGTCAGTGCCCCGTCGTTTCTCTCTTTTCTTGCCGAGTCCCTCAGTCGAGGCGACCCATTAGGTTTTTTCTATCCCAGAAACAGTTTAGGGTCAGTGCCCCGTCTTTTCTCTCTTTTCTTGCCGAGTACCTCAGTCGAGGCGACCCATTAGGCTTTTTCTATCTCAGAAACAGTTTAGGGTCAGTGCCCCGTTGTTTCTCTCTTTTCTTGTCGAGTCCCTCAGTCGAGGTGACCCATTACGCTTTTTCTGTCTCAGATTGGCCCCCAGAATACAAAAAAGCGACAAATATTTATTCCAAGCTATGTTCAGACAAGTACACGGGGCTGACCTTTTACTGGTTCTAACTTCTAACTTCTTGCGAATACCGTCCACAATTGTACGGTTCACGTTTTCGACCTGTCCGTTGGCTTGAGGGTAAGCAACCGATACTTTGGTATGCCGAAAGCTGTGTCGACGACAGAAATCCGCGAAGGGTTGGCAATCAAACTGTCGTCCGTTGTCACTGACTAGGTGCTCGGGCAACCCAAAACCACAAATCAATTTCTTCCGTAAGAAGCGCCGGCACTGATACTCAGTAATGGTTACGAGAGGCTCGGCCTCCACCCACTTGGTGAAGTAATCGATGGCCATTACGCAGAACCGGAAACGCCCCGGGGCGACTGGTAGAGGGCCCAGCAGGTCAATTCCCCACTTAATTAGCGACTGGAATGGCAGTGACGACCGAAGCATAGAAGGTGGCTGGCCGAGTGTCCTTCCGAGCGAACGCCTGGCATATAATGCACTTGGTTATCCAATCGACGCAGTCCCTCATCATGGTAGGCCAGTAATATCCTTGGACGACTAACTTGCGTGCTAGGGTATGAGCATCCTGGTGAGCCGCACATATCCCCCGATGGGCCTCATCCATTATTTTCTCCGCCTCCGGTTGGAGCAGGCATTTGAGGAAGGGGCCTCCGAATGACTTCTTGTATAACTGCCCATCCACAATCTCAAAGGAAGGGGCTTTTCTTCGGACTCGGGCGGCGACCGTGTGGTCGTCATGCAATTTTCCTTCTTCCTTGTAACGCAGTATGTCTTCGATCCAGGGCATTTCTGGGTTTTTGTCGCGGTCCCACTCCAGGGTCTTCACCTGTTGAATTTCTTCACTCGGCTCCTCGATGCTAGGTCGAGGTAAGTCTTCTTTCAGGCAGATCCTCAGAAAATGATCTGGCACCCCCTCCAGGGCGATTTTCGACAAGATGTCGGCTTCTGTATTGTCAGATCGGGAGATGTGCTCTATCTCATGGGCAACGAACCCTCTCAACGACTCCACGGTCTTTTCCTTATACCGTACCAGCCGATCGCTCCTAGCTTCACAGGTTCTGGACACTTGCCCTACCACAAGGCGCGAGTCCCTCTTAATACGAAAGCGGTCGACCCCTAAGGCTTTAGCGAGTCTAATGCCTCCCAGCACAGCTTCATACTCTGCTTCATTGTTGGATGCTCGGAATTGATAGCTCAGGGCATAATACAATCGGAATCCTTCCGGCGTGACTAACATGACTCCGTCGCCGCAGTGCTGACTACTCGCCGCCCCATCGGCATGTAACTCCCACCATTCTCCTGACTCTTTCTCCGGAGTCGGGATTCCCGTCGACTTCCCCCATTGTACACTCGACCAAGAAGTCAGCCAACGCCTGTCCTTTGATCGAAGGACGGGGCTGGTACTTGATCCGGTATGTGCTTGAAAGTAAGGTGCCAGCTTCCGTACCGTAACCACCAATGCGTATACCACCTTCTCTAGAGGCGTATAGCGAATCTCGGCGGACTTCAGGGATCGACTCACGTAATAAACCGGATGCTGGACCTGTTCTTCTTCTCGGACGAGCACTGAACTAACTGCCTTAGGCGATGCTGCCAGGTATAGGTACAAAGGTTCGCCAACCTGAGGAGTGGATAACACAGGAAGTGTAGAAAGGTACCTTTTGAGCTCCTCAAAGGATTCCTGGCACTCGGCTGTCCACGCGAAACCTTCTTTCTTCTTCATGGCCTCGAAAAAGGGCACTGTCTTATCTGCCGCCTTGCTAAGGAATCGGCTCAGAGCGGCCAGCCGACCGGTAAACCTTTGTAGGTCTTTGATGGAACTAGGGGGTTGCATGTCCATGATAGCTTGGACCTTCTCGGGATTCGGCTCGATACCTCTCTTTATCACCATGTATCCCAAAAAGTTTCCTCCTTGCACGACAAAGGCGCATTTTTTGGGATTAAGCCGCAAGTTGTACTTAAGCATCACTCGAAAGCACTCGGCTAGGTCTGGAGCGTGACTTGACTCTTTCGGACTCTTGATGACCAACATATCATCAACGTACGCCGCCATAAACTTCCCCAGCAGACCTTGTAACAGCCGTGCGACCATTCGGGTGTAGGTAGCCCCCGCATTCTTGAGCCCGAAGGGCATAACCTGCTAGCAGTACACTCCGTCGGGGGTGATGAAGGCTGTCTTCTCCTACGTCAGCTTTGTGCATGTATATCTGATGATAGCCTTGAAAGGCATCCATAAAACTCAACAGAGCCGACCCCGGGGACTCGTCGACCAACTGGTCGATTCTGGGTAGAGGGAAGGAGTCCTTCGGACAGGACTTATTGAGGTCGGTATAATCCACGCACATCCTCCCGGCCGGTGGCTTAGGCACTAGCACTACATTGGCAAACCAATCTGGATATTTTACTTCTTGGATGTGGCCGGCAGCCAAGAGCGTGCTGACTTCATTTTTCACGAATTCTCTTTGATCGTTAGCTAGGTACCGCTTTTTCTAGATCACGGGCCGATGACTAGGATCTACTGGGAGTCGGTGAGAGATGATGGAGCGGTCCACTCCCTGCATATCTTCACCCGCCTTTCTGGTCGGACCGGATCAATCTCTATTTCCTCTAACTCCACGGCTGGCTCAGGACGGGGCGGCATCGCTTTCTTTGTGGTCCGCTCAGTAATCTCGTGCACCCTTATTTCTCGTTTTCCCATTCCTCGGCAAGCCTGCAGATAGCACTCGCGGACGACTCTCTGATCGTAGCGCACGGCGCCGACTCCAGTCGGCGTGCGGAATTTCATACACAGATGCTCGATGGAGATCAACGCTCCCAAGTCCTCCAGGCCGGGTAGTCCGAGAATGGCGTTGTGGGAGCAGGCTAGGTCCACCACGATAAACTTCATATCAAACTTTTGTACGTTGGGATTACTGCCTACCTCAACTGGCAAGGTAATGGATCTTTAGGCCTCTATAGAGTCTCCTGTGAAGCCAGCCAGGGGCGTCTTTACTGGGGTCAGCCGTTCCCGTGTTAGGCCCATCTTGGTGAAGGTCTCCAAATACAAGATGTTGACGCTACTCCCGGTGTCCACAGGATTCGTCGAACGACCACCCCATTTACATCCATCGCAAATTCGCAATCACCAGCGCGTCACGATGCGGTGTCTGGCCAGTCGGCAAATCCTTATCCGTGAAGGTTATGGGCTCTCTGTATGTTTTTTCGGGCTACCTTCACGCCCATACACCGTCCCCACATACAGCTGCCGGCCCAGGTCTTGCAAGTGTTAGAGGAGTCTCCTCCTTCAGGTCCGCCCACTATCATATTAATGATCGGTTTCTGTCTCCACTGAGCCTCGTCCACTTCGGATGTCGGCTGCTTGCCGCGGTTAACCTCAGCTGACCCGGAGGGGTCGCCGTCTTCCTTGGTCTGAGACGTAGATCTTCGGCGCCACTGATTAGGGGGAGAAGTACCTTGCTAGATGATCCCCTCCATAATTTTCTTTTGGTAGTAGCAATCTTCTGTGTTGTGGGTGTAAGTCTTGTGGTAGCGACAGTATTTGGCTGGCTTACCCGGGTCAGCAGTCGCCGCATGCTCACTAGGCGGAGGCGGCGGGGGCGGCGCTACCGCTTGTATCTCACGCACTGGGTGTTGGAGGGTCGGTCGATGAGTACTGGCTCTGTCGTATACGCGTCGGTACTCCTGTCGTCTGGGCGGATCCTGATGTCTTTCCTTTGCATATACTCTGGTTCGTTTCCCTCCGGAGGCTCTTCCGACCTCACGTTGTCGCTTGTACTTCATTACCTGCTCGGTGTTGGATCCTGATGTCGCTTGTACTGGCCTCTCGGCTTGCCGCACTTGAGTCCTGGTTCTTCTAGTATGAGTTCTCTCTCGGACGGCCTCACGATTCTGTTGGCCCGTCCACGCGCGACTGGGTTCTCCTCTACCTAGCCGCTCTTTCGCCGATCGACGCATTGCATTTGGTCCTAGTCTAGAATGGAGCGACTGTGCCAGCGGATCCTCTGCCCTTCGATCCTCTCGCCTGCCCCTGTCGGACCTTTAGGGCGGCTGCTAGTTTGGCTGCAGATTCAGCGGTCGGGAGACCGATAAATCTCTCATTTCCCGAGTCTGTGCGGCTACGGCGCGAGCAATGACCTGGATTTGCTCAGGAGTGAGAGGTATTATTGATGGAGGCCGGTTTCGAGGTGCCGAGTAATCTCCTTGACTCTGCGAGTTCTGTTGGTTCAACAAGTCTCTCAGGTCTGCTTCCGGCACACCATTACGACCAGAGTCGTGACTGCATTCCTCAGACATTCTTTAAGACCCCTTTTCGACTATCCGTCTCTCTACTCTGTCTCTGACTCTTCTCTCGATGCACAAGAACGGCCGTAACCTTTTGTTACGTCCCCACAGACGGGACCAGTGTTGGTTTTAGGATTTTTGAGCCCAGGGAGGTCCAACACAACCACGGTTGGTGGATTCACCTTTCAAAAATAGAAGGGAATAAGAACTCTTTTTGAATTTTGATCTCTATTCTCTTGGCATGAACTCGCCCCCTTTTTACAGTTTCTGAGGAGCCCTTTTATAGTGGGTCTCCTTTGGATTTAACTTAAAACATACATTTAAGACCATAATTAGCCCATTAACCACTATTTATCTCTGAACGCCGTTGGGCTGTCGTTACTGGGCCTCCCAACGACTCTTTGACTGGGTTCTTAAACATCCTCTTAAATGCTCCAACGGTCTCTTGGCCCTCGCGTCGACTGAGCACTCGCGCCGACCTCAAGGTCGGGCCGACTCCTTGGCTCGGTCCATGCCTCTCTTGGCCTTCCTTCTTTTGGGCTTGGCCCCTCCTTCTTTCCGGGCCACTCTTTATTTCTGGTCTTCTTCTCTTCCTCCTAGGCTTTGGGCCCGGGGTCCACACCCCATCACTAATGAAATTGTATCTCTTTTTTAATTTTTTTGATAATGAATAATTTATTTATTTAGTTTTTGAATAAGGGCATTGTAGACATCTAATTATAAATTAAAGAAATGAATATGTATTGTTTTTGGATATATACATCGTAGCTACAAATTTATTTAATTTAATAAGAGTAATAGAGTGGGGTACTTACTTTTAATCCACTACAATGAAGCTATTAGTTTTTTTTGTTAAGACAAATTGTTTTGGGAATTTGTTAATGACAATTGCTACAATTGTTGTCAATAGATGATGAAGATAAATAATTCAAAATATATGGTTACAATAGATATTGTTATAATAATGATATAGTAAAAATTAACTTACAAATTTCTTTAGAAGTTTTCATGCATTGATAAAATTCTGATTTTGATGTACAAGCTTGTTCAATTGGAGCCAATTGGGTGTCATCATTGTCAATTTTTTGGAAAATGGTCCTACCATTTATAGTCCAAGTGTAGTCGTATTTCTGAGCAACAACTTTGTATTTAGGTCGTGTAGGTCTGACAATGATGTAAGAACAATTTTATTCAGTAAAAAATAATAGTAGAATATTTGTAAAGTAATGTACAATTGAGTCATTATAGAAATACAGACATAAAATATTAATACCATAATAATCTAAATCATTTCCAATAATGCAAAATCATAATTCAAATATTGAGTCTTGTTCTAAATAATCAAAAGAAGATTAATTAAACGAAAAAGAAAAAGAAAAAGAAAAAAAACTTAACCTAAATTTGTTTTTTTAAAATGCAATAAAATAATTTTCAAGGTTCAGTATTTGTAGATGCTCAACTTTGAATGTTATATACTTAGTTGGACTAATTATTTGACAAAAATTCATGTTAAATTTTATATTATATTTTGTTAATACACTGTAATATATTCGCTGTATATGTTCAACAATTATGTCAACTCTGATTGGGATGTGATTCGAATCTAAGACCTTTCTTATAGATATCAATGAATAAATTAAGAATAATAAATAATTAACAAAATATTCCGCTACTAAAATTAATACTAAAAGAATGCGTTAGTGTGTATATATATATATATATATATATATATATATATATATATATATATATAATCGCACTCAGGTGCGAATGCTTCGCCCAGGAGCGAAATAGGAATGGATTTTGTCCGTTCACGTGTCCAGATCTAATGGATGAGAAACACTTATTTTTTTAAAAAAGCGCGGTGGCATTTTCGTAAATAATTTAACATCGAAGTGCAAGTAAAATGTATTACAAGTGCATGTAAAATGTATTATAGGTGCAAGTAAAAATTTACACCGAGTATCAATACTAAGTGCACCTATAGTTATAAGTAGTTGCACACATAGTTATAAGTGGTTGCACCTAGGTGCATGAATGTTTGCGGGTGGTTTTCAGGGGTATTACTAGCCGCTGAACTCAAATCAATGAATGTTAACAAGACAAAATTACATGCACTTATAGGTGAAAGTAGGTGCACCTATAGTTATAAGTAATTGCACCTATAGTTATAAATAGTTGCACCTATAGTTATAAGCATACCCAAGTGCATGAATGTTTGCGGGAAGTGAATGCTAACAAGACAAAATTGCATGCACTTATAGGTGAAAGTAGGTGCACTTTTAAGTGATTTTACTTGCACTTCAATGTTCAATTATTTATAAAAATACCACCGCATTTTTTTAAGCTATTAGATCTGGACACGTGTCGCGCGCTAATTCGTTCGCATATTCCTTCCTGGGCACTTATTCGCACCTAAGTGAATCCATATATATATATATATATATATATATATATATATATATATATATATATATATATATATGGTGATGTAAAGTACATGCCTTGATGGTTGGTAAAATATAAACAAGAAACACCATATATATGTAGCCATTAGGTAGCATAGAATTTTCGAACAAAACATTATAGTATGTATCGGGCCAGGATAATTAATATTATCTAAGGATTAGTACTGACCAGGCATGCATATATGATTGGGTCCTGCCTCTGATTGAAGTGTTAGATATTTTTGCTTTCATATCCGTAACAAGGTCCACTTTTGTATTTTATTTTTTATTTAAAAAAAAAAAAACTCTTATTATTAATTCCTTATCGAAGTAACATGACAAACTGATCATAACTTCTTTTTTTTTTTTTTTTTTTTTCACAAGAGAGGGCCAGAGGAGTACCTCT